AAGGGCATGTACCTTCGTTGCGGGCACATCCCCAGTAGGGGGCGTGCAGGAGGCAGCTGATAGATGTTTCTCTCTCATCGATGTTTCTAACTCTCTATTCCTCTCTGTAAAAAATCAATAAAATATATTTTTTTAAAAAAAGAAAAACATCCTTGATACTGAGTTCAAAGGGATATTGGGCAGATGCAAAGGATAAAGAACAGGAAAACACTGAGATCTTGAAGTCCCCGTTCTCTCAGACATCCAGTTGTGACAATAGCTATTTCTATATTGTAAACACAGCAACCATTCCTATACATTTCTTGATGCAAGTGTCTCAGTAATAACCGATGTTGTACATATGGGAGGGTTTGGGGTTTTTTTGGTTTGGCTTCTCAATATCCATATCCCCCTCACAATAACATCCCAGTTTTCTCTGGCTGCCGTCTGTTAGGACCGGAACCTAGGACCTTTCGTAACTATGAGGTGGGCACACCCAGACACTAGTGGCTTCCGGAGATGTTCTCTTCTCGGAGTTTAAGCCACGAACAAGAGACAGCACCAGAACGGCTAGTGTTGACCGTGCAGATGCAGGTCCTGGCCACGCTGGCCTCACGGTGACACTGCTGTGGCAGTCTCTGAGGCGGACTTCAGAGTCTCTGAGGCTTACTTGGTCCCGTCTTTCCCAAGCCGTGTGCTCTGCTGCCTAGCAATTCTGTGATATGTTTTCAATCAATTCTTTTCTTAAGTCAAGCAGAGTATTTTTCAGCACCTTGCAAAAATCCCCACCCACTGATACAGCCGTCTTCACCCTCTTTCTAGTAATTGGACGAACAACATGATGACACCCTTGGGATGTCCAGGGGAGTAGGGGCAGAAGCTTTGTGAGCAAATCTATCTGGTTCTGTGGAAATCCGAAGACTTCCCCAAACAATGAAACCATTGGAGTCTCCAAAATGAGGTCAGAGACTCTGAATCAGCATGTCCCTGCCTGTGAGACCACCAGCCTGGATTCAGGGTTCTCCCTGCAAAGCATTGGGAAGAAAGCAGGTGCGATGCCGGCAGTCGAGGCCTGTCTCCACTGACCCATTTCAATTCTTGTTGGAATTAGTTTATTTTCAGATAAAAGCACCTCTTGTGTTAGTGGCATAGGCCATTTGAATTGTTTCTTTTTTTATTTTACCAAAACTAAATTGTCTGGAAAAAAGCAAATAGGTCATTTCAGGGGTAATATATGTTTACAAAATGCATATAATTTTCTTACAAAAATGAAAGGATTCTTCATGTTGTATTATGTCTTTAACATTAAAAAGCCTTGATTACTTTTTTATGCAAGTAAAAATAAACTTTTAGGACACCTTTCCTAGTGGCTACGTAGTATTCTCCCGTACAGCTGTTACTATAATTTATTTAGCCAACCCTCCTTTTTTGGACATCTATGCAGTTTTTAATTTCCACCCTTACAGACAACTTGCAAAGGGTCTTGTTAAAGATGCATCTCTGTTTTTCATCTGGTTTTGCTTCTAGCATAAGTTCCTGGACATGGAATTTTTACACATACATATTTTAAGCCTTTATTTGCCAAATGTCTCTCCGGAAAAGATATATGGATGTGCATTCCACCAGCAATGTCTGAAATTTATATATATATAT